TTTTTTTCCCCACCCCGTTCACATAAATTCGTTTTGCTCCTAGCATGGTTTGTTAGCAAGGGAAGGTCCAGTAATGCACAAGTCAGTTATTCATGTTTTGCCACGGTCTGTGGTCATTTTTTCCATGAACCTACAAATCTGTCTCAAACATAACAAAGCTACTTTTACAATCTGGGCTTCAACAGTAATCTGACAACACTGGATTACATTTTGATTCAGCTATGTAATTTTTCATAAATACAACATTTTGAAAGTAAAGTGGCTATTTCAGGCTTGAGATAATGGAAGAAATTTGCAAGATTTTGTCTTTCTGCATTTACTGAGAAGCCTCCATCTGCCTGTTTCACTTGCAACATGCGTTTCTAGTTTTCATCCTTGCTCCATATCTCCTCAGGCCATCTTCATTTTATTCAGTAAATTAAGCTCTAGTAGTATACAACTCTGCTCAGTCTCCATACATATAAGCCTTCTTTGTGGTTCAGCCACTACATAAGAAGGTTTTTGAGCTTTCAAGTAAATTCAAGTGAGTTCTAAAACAAGACTGAATTCTGAATGGTCAGAAATTCTATAACAGAAGAATGTTTCTAAGCTGTGTTCTTTAGCTATCACCATCTGTTTGCAAACACATGTGGTTAAAGTGAATGCCAGCCCAATGAAATAATTATATTGACAATCTTAAGGAAGGTAGATGTCCAAGCTCATCAGCATAAAATCTTTATTCTCACGTGACAGAACTGTACCTGGCAATGAAAGACATACTCTGGCGTAGTCTTCTTGTACTTCATATTCCACACGAGGGCCACTCCATCAGGCTCATGAGGTGCATCCTCATTGTTGTTGTAAGAGGCAACAAGTAATTCTGGGTACTGAAAAATGGGAAAGATTTACAATGAGCAAGATGATTAGCCAGTGGTCCAGACAATCCTAGATTCTTTGGTCTGTGCTGCCAGAACAGGGATCAAAGAAAAAGAGAAACAAAAATAACCTTAAATAATCTCTGTGAGAAATGGCATCAGTTAAAACTGCAGTTGTTACAAATTTAGCTCATAAACATTATTAATGGGCACATTAAATTCTTGCTCTTTTACCATAATCTACTTTTATATGTAAAACCCACTACCTTTAATAGAGCTGTCTTCTGAAGCTAATGCTTAACTTTGAAAAGAAGAGCATAAAGGAA